ATCTCGTGGTAATTGACTAGATGACCCGTGTCCGCGACCCATGTTCGGCCAAAGCCGATTGGTGGATGTGTGTTGAAGCCGGTCATGACGCATTTGGCCGATGTCAACAAGACCACAGCTGCACGGAATTTCGTATACGCCGGCATCTTGAAGAGGGTCCGGACGATCCTTCACCTGTACTAGGCTCTCCGATCTTGTTACGAGCGCGAAACACGATGCAGATACCAGCTCTGCACAGTAGTCTCCCGATCTTGTCCGTCGACCCCTTTGATGTAAGGCAATCGGGCTGTCTTTGAGGGGCGGACTGGAAGGTTCCGTGCTTGCATTCGAGGGGATAGAATGGAGCCACCATAGGGCTTATTCACGACGGATCGCTGTAGCCATTAGCCAGATAAGGTCTTTCTTTCCGTTATGCCTTACTCAACGATAACATTATATACAGTTCCGCCGTTCACGTGGTCAATTGTTTCTTCTCCCTTCTATCCGACAAGTCAATAAAATAAATTTTATTTCTCATCAAAAAATGCTTTATTGACGAAAACTTTAATTATACTGTTGGTCTGCTCGTAGGGATTACATTATCCAAAGCATTTATGAAGCAGTGGAAACCGATAAACCTTAAAAATCTTGCTAAAATTTTATTTGTTCTCTGAATGGTCGGTTGCTAAGTATCTGAACGCATGCTTTATCGACCCGTAAATAACAAAAATAGTTATTTATGTGACAAGTTCTATATATTAATTTTTAGGATGAGACTATAAAATAATTAATAATAATAATAATAAATAATAATAAAATAATAATATAATAATAATAATAATAATAATAATAATAATAATAATAATAATAATAATAATAATAATAGAGGACGTGTTACATACAATGTTTTTTTGTTATTTGTAGTTATTCCAAATAAACTTTTCACATTTTCCTAAGATAAGAATTGTCATTACTCTCGATTTTCTGTATCAAAGGTTTTTGGTACAAGGTTTTGGTACCGTTTTTAACAATCGCAGGGCGCGTAAGGACTAAAATGACAACGGCGACAGATGTGAATAAGTGGGACAAAGCGGGGAAAGGAGAATGAAGATAAGGGCAAGGGGATAAAATGAACAAATTGGGAAAGGGAAAGGAAGAGACAAAGCGAAAAAAGGATAAATCAGACAAAGGGGATAAATGGGACAAGCGGAAAACATTGGACAGAGGACAAATGGGACAAGATGGCATTTATCCAAAGATTTATGAGCACTGGTAAAATCCAAACTCGAGAGTCCCCTAAGTGCGCGTTTACTGACGTAAATAACAAAAAATATATTTTATATCCAGTTTCATTAAATATATTTGCATCGATAAACGTCTAAGCGTTTGATTTGATAATACTGATACACACACAGACACACTCACTCACATGTATCTCGCAACTGAGCGATATAGATTGAGAAAAGATGAGCAGATTATATCTGGTTCTCCAACTGAAGGTGACAAGCGGTTGCCACACTCCAAAATGATTTGCAATAATTATTACTTTCTCGTACGCATAGTATAAAGCATTGATTATGGTGTAGAAAAATTCGAATTTTTGGCAGAGATTATTTGCCGAATTTGCAAGAAAAAACACGATTTTTGGAAAAAGTGGATTTTGTTAAAACGTCTGCCCGGTGCGTGGTTACTACTGCTGCTTAGAAAATGACTGCCTAAACCGTTTACAGAATTTTCTCCAAAAAGTTTGAACCCCCATTCGATTGAACCGTGTGTGTGTGTATGTATGTGAGCGCGCGCGCACTTATGTATATAATGTGTGTGTCGGAAATAGCCATTATCTTTCTTACTTAAATCGAGGTGTGTAAAAAGATTGCAATGGTGTGAAAAAGGGCATATGTATAAATGTAAGTAAGTGATTATTGGGACAAAATGTTTCTATTACTTCCGTGGCCGTAAATTTTTTTTAGCCAATGAAATTGAATGTGGCGGCTCATGTTTATTCCTCAATTTCTTCATTCATCCAGTAGAAGCGCTAGTGTACATGGATTTTGTGGAAAGTAATGGATGAAGCTGGTTGGTCGTGGTCGTACATTGGTCGTACATCTCGTACAATCTCTTGTGATGAGTGGCGTCGTGGCGTTGGATGGCGTAGTAATTGCTTTATTTAGAGAATTGGCTTCATAAAGCCTTGTTAGTTGTGTTTATTATTGCCTTTTGGTTGGAAAATAGTTAATATTATTGTCTAAGAAATCACTTTAGCACCGATTCACAATTGAAGCTTGGTGGTGATAGTTCGTTCCGGAGGTTCATGACTGAGGTGTTATCTGAACAATTTTGCTAATTTTGGTTTTCTCGTACTTGGACGGAACGTCTTCATCTTTTCGCACATATTGTACGTACATTTAAAGTTAAAATGTCCAGAAAAAGACGTGCAGAGGAACGATCCAGGAGCAGATCTCCAAGTTCGAGAAGTTCTAGCCGTAGCAGCCAATCTCACGGCTCCCAAGATGACGAAGAGGACGGAATTCGCCTTCATGTAGCCGGTTTAGGTATGAGTAAACGCCCAAGTTTTGATATAGTTAGGTTGATTTGACATTAATTCAGTAATGAATTTTATACTTCAGGATAATTTTAGGTAAGTCAGTAAGAGATACCTTGAGCGTTCTGGTTGAAAAACGTGAATGTAGTATGCTATTTGTGATGTGATGGAAAATATGAATCGTGCGGCTAGCGATAATGATACAATAAAAATTATAAAATGTTAATTCTTGTTAATAACTGAAGTAATGTGGGAATTAACTTTGCTAGTAGACACGGTATTTTTTAAAAAAAAATCAGTTCGTGAGAAATTATAACTTATTTAGCATACAAGTGAAGTATTAGAGAATTATTACACTCATACTCCTCCCCTCCCATTAGAAAACATACAAATTTGATTGGGTAGTAAAAATTAAGTTCACAATTTTCTTATATTTATTAATCATAATAACAGCATTTTTGTTCCTAGTATGGGCCTATTTATTTTTCAAATTTCTGCCATTAAATTGATCAATCAGGGTGTGTATCGCACTTGCACTTGATGTCAAAATTGTAATAAGGGTGGTAGTTGTATAGAATTTTATACCAAAGGCTAAAAAAATTGTTTAATTTTAGGTTTTGGAATTCGACGACGTGAGTTGCAGCACATATTTGAGAAATATGGTGATTTAAGAGAAATTTGGATGGCTCGGTCACCCCCATGTTTTGCATTTGTTGTTTATCGAGAGAAGGATGATGCTGAGGATGCAGTAAAGGCTACAGATGGAATGTGAGTTATTTCTACTTGTAAGGAAAAGATTGTAGCATGTGTTCTTTTAAATGGGATTGAGGGAAGGGTGGTGTATAATGTACTTTACATTAATGAAGAAGAGTTTTTTGTTTTTGTCGCCAGTATTCACTGCACGATTGATAATTTGAAAGTATCAATAATGATGTTTATTAACAATGGCAAATTTTATAAATATTTTTGTTTGTCAAGGAACATGAGCAGTTCTTGAATTATTGTGTAGTTCAAAAAATTTTCCACATTTTTTTGTCATTTTTTAATATTAATATCTGAACAACCCCTGTCAAGATTCCTTTTGAATATTAACACTTGATCGCTTGTAGGTAATTTTATAGGAAAGAGAAATGGTAAGTGGGAATATGAGTTGGTAATCACACTTCATTGTAAACTTCATTTGGCTTTTCTCACCTTGAGACAGAAACTTATACAATTGCTTCTCGGATATATCAATAAGATGCATATATTCGTATAACTTTTAGTTTAAGGTCTATTCTCTCTAACTTTACCCAGCATTAAAATTAACTTTGTATGTATTCCCAAGCCCAGTAGTTTCCCTTACCGTATGATTAAACTCTCATAGCACAAATAGTTAACATAAGCTGTCTTGGGTGACATAGACAACTTCCTGATCTTACATTCCTATTCAAACTAGGCAACAATGCAATAAATTGTGCCAAGTTACTTTCAAAAGTATCATGGAATGGACCTATGTGCCCTCTGAGAGGAAATCATTACATCTTCTCAGTACCAACTGTTCGCCCAAACAATTGGTATAATGCTCCAATGAGGAGAATGTGCAAGCATGCCAATAAAGTAATAGTAGGCAACGAAAATCCTTTTATGTCAGATAAAAATATTTCATAATTGCTTAAAAATTATCTGCTGACTTTGTAATTCAAGGTTGATTTGTATCATTGTAACTTCTGAACTAGTATGTTTTAATTGGGTGAATGTGAAATAAACATCTTTATTATATTACAACTTTCTACTAGTTACAAGTTCCTACCCAACTTCTTACTATCTTTTCTCCCCAAATATTCTCATTGATGGGCATCTAAATTTGAAAATATATTTTCAAAGTGTGAACATTAAGATTTCATTTGGATCTAGGCCCAGGGCCTGTCATCCTCACAGATGCTCGAACCAAGTAAGCTATGAAATCAAACATAGGGTCCATGAGAATTTAACAACCTTACTGAGATTGATAATCTTGCATACGGCACAAATGGCATGAAGGGTGAAGATAAACAAAACAGAAAGACACCCCCCCCTCTTTCGAGGCTATTAATTCCATTAGATGGACTTCGAAAACAATTGACACTAATGGTTAAAACAGTGCTAATATCCCTCTTAACTCCTCCTGAAAATGTATTGGCATGAAGTGTAAGTATTTTATACCATTGGGATGTGAACAAGGCGCATTCTGTTATCCAGCAGTTGCTTTAAATTTGTTAGATGGATTCCACCACAAACAAGTCAATGAAGCTGGGATCTCCTTTTGCCTTTAAAGGAATTAGTTTTGGCTCTCTGTAATAAGTCTTACGATAATGCAAGAAATGATTTAGTCATTGGTAAAGTTCTTCTGAGGGAAGCCAGTATATCCTAAGCGTGTTCCAGTCATAAATCATAGCCTCTGTCTGTGTGACCCAAGATCATAAGGAGGAATGATTGCTCTTATGATTTCCTGGGCAAATCGCCTGGCATCCTTGATATTCAGATAGATTGTAACTTGACCCCAGTGCAATTTCTTTTAATAATGCTGCAACAAAGAACAGGGATTTGCATGACACAGCTTATAGCAGGATTGAACAATGCTTGAACGTTGCCAGAAAGCAAAAGTGGAGCTGATGCAAATGTTTTGCAATAAAAGATGTGTGAAAAGTAACACAATATATGAAGTGTGATAAACAAAAAGTGAAATTGTAAAGTTAAAATAGATACTCCCAGTGTGACTTGTGCAGTAGACTCCACAGGAATTGAATTGTGTGTCTTAAAAAAATAAAAGGCTTTGAAAGTGGATGTTGTAGCTTACCTATGGATGTGCATTTGTTCTGACACTGATTTACTGATGTTACTCATTGAAATAAATTATTCATAACATGCTGATCTAAAACTGCACTCATAAAATTTTTCATAGTCTCAATTATCCATAGAATTTTTTTTATGTTTTATGTTTTTTTTTTTATGTGTTGTTCCTTCATCCTCGGAAATCCGACTAGCAATTATTTCAGGACAGTGTAAGTCTATAGGTGATGCATTACACTGCTCCATTAAGTAGTGAAAGCTGATCAGAATTTCAAATATAATCCATAAATACAGTTTATAAGATTTTGAATTTTTTTGACAGAATTAAATCAATTTTTTAAATTACTCAGTGACTAGTTCAGAACAAATAAGGTCTCATGACCATGCATCTAACAAGCACATTACTAAAGTTTTTCAAATTTTACAAGTGCACAACCAAGTAACCCATTTCACCTACGTATTTACACCTTACAGGTGTCAAGAGTGTCTTAGTGTGTGACTTGTACACCTTTGTATAGAATGTTGCATGGCAACCAACTGCGAGTGACCTTTGCTCGGCCCCGTACCAGAGGGCGGGGACGACGAGGCTTTGATCCCAACATGCGATGCTATCAGTGTGGGTACAAGGGCCACTTCTCAAGGGACTGTCCCGACACCAAGTACGGATACAAGCGCCCTCCCTCTAGGTATGTATTGCTGCTTTGTTGACATTCGCTGTGGATGCGTGTGAGGAAGGAAGATATGTGAATGGATGAGAGCCACATGCAGGGTTTCCAGATGTCCCTTTAATTAAACTTGAATCAGATGATGTTTTTCCATTAATAGAGTTGTTATAGGTTGGTTGAAATTTTGTGATATAAAAGTTGAGATATGATGTCCATGTTGTTTTGTATATTATATTTTTTATAGCAGAAGACACAGAAATTGGTGGATAAATAGTGATTGTTTGATGGTGAATGTTCCTTATGTAGACAAAATGACATATTGGTATATTACTGCTTAACTCTGTGTTAAAAGCTTACAACAGTCGTTGTGCAAAATTGCCAGTTGAGCATTTCTCTTCTCTCTTAGTGTGGCAAGTTTGTAGGTGAAGTGTTCTCGAAATATATTGATTTCCTTTGCCTAGTGATGCGTTGTGCATTTATTTTGTGTGTGTGTGTGTGTGTTTGTTTTTTGTTAAGTTAAAAGCTATAGTTATTAAGAGTGAGTGAGTTTATCTGCTCAGAAATATCCCTTGGAATCTTCATTGTAGATGAAATGTTTTAAGGTTTCAAATTTCAAAAGAAGCAGCTTTTAAGGAAAGCAAAATTTCATTTTTCTTAAAGAAAGTAAGACTTTTTTCTCTTGTGTGATAATATTGTAAGATGCTATGCAGAATTTATAGGGAATACAATATTGGTGTAGCACTTTCATGCAGTCAGTTTTGTGGTACTTTGTATGCATGTAGTGTGCTGTACCTTATTTGTATATAATATGCCAAGAAATGTGCATTTTGGGTTATTTATAAGACTTCACCATCACAAAATTATGTAATTGTGCTTCTGCTGGATAGAAAATGATGCCTCTTGTTGTATCAAATAGATTTAAGACGCAAAGATTTTTGTGGGTTACGGTATGAAGAAATCAACATGTGCACAAAGACAATTCGTAACTTACTTTGCGAGCCCTTTAAGCGAGGTTTTCAGACTTCTATAGTGGGTTCGAGTCAGGTTCTTGGGCTATAAGCTACACAGTGAGACCCTTTGTGGACCTTCTATTGAATTTTTGGTAGTTTTAGATCTTCTGGGTGTCCAGCTTCATTACTCAGGTTGTGAAATATTTTGCAGAATTTTGAAATTAGGTATGTAAAAGTTGAATATTTGATTTACTTTGTAACTATATTGCATGGGTCTGTCTCCTTTATTAATAAATTTGCTTAACTATTTAGGCACTGTTTCATTATAGCTCAGGACAGCCCTATTTATTTAATAGCAAAAGAGCAGTAAACATACTCTAGTGCACCTAATATTTGGGAGGGAAGAATAGAACACCTTACTGTTCAATGATCAAAAACAAAGGGTCATATGTATAGATTGTATTCAAGCATGACATAATTACAGGAAAAATAACAACAAGTTAGGTATTAGGTATACTCTATTGGCTCAAAGCAGAATTAATAATTCTTGGCATAGAGTTGTGTACGAGGACATATTTACGTGTTGTCTCTTAGAATGTTCCTAAAAAGGTAACATAAACCATCCAGTTCCTTTATTTCGTATTGGTCTGAATCTTTAAAACACAGATTAGAGTCTTTAGCTGTTTCGCAGTTTGGGTTTCCACGCTTTAAGCTGTTTTCGTTTGGAAAGCCATGCGTTTATTAAAGTTTGTGCTTAGTGTCTTGCTACAGATGCCAAACTGGTGTCAACTAAAATATGTAATGAAGTAATGCACTGAATACTGATAGAAATTTAATTAGTCATTGAGAAATCTAATTTGCAGGAGAAATATAACCTTGTGTCTACAGATTCAATCATTACTTATTATGATCTAATAGACATTTTAGTTCAGTTGTTATTATAGCATACTTCAATTTATATAAGAGCCTCTGATCAAGCCTTTTGTGTCTCTACATTCTATAATAAACTTTTATGCACAAGTACAATGTTTATCAACACAAAATGTTCATTAAAACTTTCTTTGGACTCGGTGGTTGCGAGGCACTTCAGGCCTTACAAACTTCTTTTATAAAAATTAGAGTTACATTGACCCCGAATGCAGGAGACCATAGTTTATACCTGTATTTCAAATTGTTTGAATGCAATTTTCGTGCAATGAAAGGAAATTCTGGAAATCCTAATAATGCCTTGCCAGAGTGGTCATGTGTGGTGTGAGAGTTTGACGCATTGTGGCATTTTTTGTAGCTATATGAATGTTGTGATGATGCACCTAAATAAAAATTCCATATGTACCTTTCCAAATGTGTTGATTACATGAACTTGAATAGTATTTTTCATATGTTCTGTGTTAAAAAGTTGTCTTATTACGGGCAATTTAAATAAGCTATTTTTCAGAATGGAAAGAAATGGTATGTATTAAAAATGAAACTTGCGTTAAATAAATGTGGTGAGAGGGGAGCAAATTGTTTGTGGTTGTGGTTGTGATACATATTCTGTGCAAATTAGGTTTACAAAAAAAAAACATCCATAATTGATTATTTTTATTTTATATTTGCAATTGAAATGTTGTTGCAGGCGTTGTGTAATAAAATGCCCAACAAAAGTTTTGATTAAATTAAATTGCCATTAGGAAGAAGGTTTTAAATTTTCAAATCAGGATTTTTTGTTCTTAAAAAAAATTTCTTGCCCCCAATAAAAAAAAAACATTTTTTACTAATGGGGAATTTTATTTTTTTTTTTTTGTTAAAAGTTGGGGGGCGCCTTTTTTTTTGGGCCAAAAAAAAAAAAAAAATTTTGGGGGGGGGGGGCTATTTCATAATCTCTCT